CGCCAACGTATGTTCTCTATCAGCGTGTTAGTTAGCATGCTTTCAAAAATAAATTCTTTCCTGTCATTTCATTTTTATGCGTTTTCGCATACACGTAAATTGCAAAAACGCATATTGGGAAGAGGTTGTCTGTGTGTGTGTGTGTCTGCGTGTTCGCACTTTTTGTCACCCACTTTCAACACGAGAACCAGAAAAGCTAGAAGGCTGAAACTTTGAGGATATGTGTCTATACCACTCACGACCCTCCCGTTTTAATTTCATCCCCAGCGGGCGTCTAGGTGACGCTTACCGACGTTTTAAAAAAATATGCAAATTTCTTGGCGGAAAAGCTATCTCGGGAACCACACGAGCTAAGGAGCTGAAACTTTGTAGGGATATTCCCTGTGCACGTACTATCTAAAGATTTCAAACGACCTCAGGTATGCGTGGTACTTATGTAAGAGAGTATGAAAGTTTTAGGGGGAAAATTCCTAACTTGGGTACCAGGAAAACTAGCAAGCTGAAATTTTGGTGGAATGTTCCCTATCCAAGTACAACTCAAATGTTTCAAATTCAGCCCCAAACTTTGTGTGGCACTCACGTAAGGGCGTATGGAACTTTCTGCAGGAAAATTACAAATTCGGCAACCAGAAGAGCTGGAAGGCTATAATTTTAAGGGGATATTCCCTGTCCAGGTGCAATTTAAAAATTTTAAATTCAGCTTTCCAGACAAATGAAGTACCCACGTACGAGTATGTGAAGGTTTTGGCGGGAAAATCGCTAACTCGGTAATCAGAAAAGCTGGAAAGCTGAAATATTTGGGAGAATATTCCCTGTTTAAGTACAGTTTAAGTATTTCAGATTCAGCTTGAGGTATGCGTGGTTCTTACGTACGTCACTTAAAAATCTTGGTGAAAAAATTTCTTACTGAACAACTAGGTTACTTTTAAAGAACGAATGTTAAGTGGGAATTGTGCATTTACTTTGCAAAAATTTATGGTGATTTATGCTAGTGACCGCAACAGATAGGTGTAAAGCAAAGTCATTCATGCAGTCAATGACCTGGGTACATCAAATCCGGTGCAAAAACGCATGATCGCACGGGCCCGTCCGGTGCGTTCCAGCCTGGGTTACCACTTGATATCTTTTTCTTTCTTCACACGGTATCTTTTCTTTACAATAATGTTGAGCAATCAGAGACATGTTCATTGCGTCCGTAGATGGTAGTAGGCTGTACTAATGATTTCCACTCCTACGCGCCTCCTGTTGTGCTTTGTTTATGTTTACAGCTAAGGAATGAAACATAGTCTGCTTTTCATTATTTCAATTTGTACATACGATATTTAGAACGACCTACTCTCTCTGCTTTAATTAATATTCACCACTATACTGTGCTACTGTTTGCATGAATACTAAGATAAGCTACAATTTGTAGACATAAAAAAAATGCGAGCTTGAGAAGCTGATAGTCCCAAACTTTTTGGGTAAGCAAATTAAGGACACATTTTGAAATTTTATTTAAAATCAGCAGTTGGCAAAATGTTTTTTTGTAGGTGGACAAATCAGTATCTTGTTAGGAAGCATTCGTTATTCAATTACAAACACCATATCACCGTGGAAAATGTTTTCCAGGTCGACCAATA